AGGCTGGCTGGGGAATTCTGGGAGTTGAAGTCCACCCGTCTTAAAGTGGCCAAGGTTGAGGGACCCTGCTCTATACTATCCAAAAGAAGTGGCAGAGCCAGCATTAGCTTCAGAGCAGTTCACAGAATCTAATGCAGTCCAGATGGTACTACAGTGGTACCTCGGGATACGAACGCCTCTACTAACAAACTTTTTGGGTTACGACCAGCTCTGGCTGCAAAAATTTACCTCGATGTGCGAACTCCGCCTCGGGGTACGGTCATTTTTCTGCCCTGACACGAATTTTTCCGCCTGACACCTGGTCCGTGGCCATTTTTCCGCCCCTGACACATGGTCCGCGGCCGTTTTCCCGCCGCGCTGCGTGGTGCCCGGCCGTTTTCCCACCCCTGACGTGTGGTCCGCGGACGCCAGAACGGATTAACGGTAATTACATTGAACCTTATGGGAAAATTTGCGTCGGGTTACGACCAACTCGGGATACACCCAGAGTCACGGAACGGATTAAGTTCGTATCCTGAGGTACCACTGTATTAGTATTCTCTATGGATACAGCACTGCCAGCTCCTGTGCAATACTGGAAATGGCCACCAAGAACTGGGTTATATCAGTTCTTGAAAGCTTAGAAGCTAAGGTACACATCATAAAAGGAAAGAGAAATGGGGAGGGAAGAGGAAAACAAACTAGTGCAAGTTCAATTCTTAATGTTATTGATGAGCACTGAGGTTGCAGTTTGGGACAGGAAGTGGTGAAACGGAATCAAGTCTCAGCTGGCACAACAGTGTTGCATTTACAGACTTGGATTCGCCCATAGCCACAGACACTGCATTTCAGGCTTGGTGCCACTGCAGGGGGCATGCTACGTAATACTTTATGGTGTGTTTATTTATACTTTATGGTGTGTTTATGGATCAAGAACAAGAGCACGTGACAGTTGCTATCTATCTATCCATCCATCCATCCATCCATCCATCCATCCATCCATCCATTCCATTTGTGGTTAAACAATACAAAATACACAACATTGTAAAGGGAGAGGTGGGGAATGGAAGAAAAGAGGCATGGAATTGGAAGTAAAAGACCATATTAGTGGCAACTCTCCATGTAAGATATGGAGATATTGAGAGGATAAAGGAAAGAGCCAGAAATACAGATCTGCAGTAGATTAAGAATTTAAGGGTGCAATAAATGCTCACCAGCTGCTGCCAGCAACAGACTGCAAGTTCAAATACGGAAGAGAAAGGAGGTCCTCCAGCTATAACAGGCTAACTAGACTTAAACAGATGCTCATCAACAAAACCACCTTTACAAAACAGGAGGGTGTCAAAACTGCTGGCTCGGATGCAAGCTGGGAGGAACATAGTAAGAGGCCTTCTACTGAAGTAGAACATTCTTGGTTCTTCCTTGGGGATTACCCACATGGACTAATAGCAGGTCCCCAGGGCTTCAAACAGGAGCCTTTCCCAAGCCCTACCTAGAAAGGGGTGGGGGATTCGATTCCCCTCCACTGAGCTAAGCTTTATCAACTAGCCAAGCAAAGAATAGAGCGGGTCCTCAAAAATAGCCCATTCCACGTCTGAGGAACCAACAGCCTGAATCAGCTGCCAGGGAGGACTGGGAGAAGCTCCAGAAGAGTCTCGCGTCCCCCATCCCTACTCTGCTGATAGCTGTAAGGCCATTTTTTTGCTGTTTGCTGGGATGGCGCTAAGAGGTCAGGCACTCCATCTTCTAGCAATCTGCAACTGGCTTAAGGCCAGTGATGCTCCATACACATCAGCAAAGCATTTCCCCAGTCCTTAAAACTGCCAGTTTGTATTAATCTCTGGCGGAATTGATCCCTATCTACTTTTTTTTTCTACCAGCAAAAGGAAGGAGAGATTAATCCACTCTTCTGAAATATATACTTTTACCCGTTGTTAACTATAAGGTGACCATCCCTTCTCCATTTGTTCAGCAATACATGATAAACATTCGGCCCATGAGGTGGGAAGTCTGAATGGGGGCCTGTCTCTTACTCCTCAAGTATCTGCTCTAATCTAATCTGCAACTGAACGGGGCGTCTCCGCCGGAACAATAAGAACTCAACACTCATTCATCTCCTTTGCTGTCAGCAATGGGGCTGCCAATGATGGGAGGTTGCAGAAAATAAAAAAGGGGGTTTCTCAGAGTTCTTGGTTTTCAACTGCAGCAGCCTGGATTAATCTCAAAGTTCATCTCTCTAAATAAGAAGCAGAGTAATAACACGTTCCTTCAGTGTCAAAGAAAAAATGAAAGTGTGGGGGGGGTGGATTTTCACAGGGTGCAGATCTAATATCTCAGGGTATGGGGGGAAAAAGATGTCCCACCACAGAAACTTGGAGAGTATTGAATGTCAGCAGCACTTTGCAAATCTCACACTTTGCCATGCCATCTTGACACTTCACAACGTCTCCTAAGTTCCAGCCATGTTTCCAATACTGGTGGCAATCGGATTGTTTCCAACATTCACAAAAACCTACCCTGTGAACATTTTGCTTCTTGTCAATGTAACTGAGTTCAACCTTAAAAAGAGGGCGTCTGTGCCTCAGAAGGGCTTCTGAGCCCCAAAGCATTATATGGTTCAAAAGATTCTGACTATCCTTCTGTGACTTCTATAATTTTGCAAGGCAGCTTCACGGGTGGACTGATTTTCAGTTAAAACCATGGCCAAGGCCTAAAATGTCATGTTCCATCTCCAAAGGACTTTTTCTCTGAAAATTAACCTGGCAGCCATAGCAGAAGCTATTTTCCCCAATGCGACATTCCCTTGAAATGTTGGGATTAGAACTGGGGTTGCTGTCTGCTGTCTCAAAACATCAGGAAGGCACCAGGTTAAAGAAGGTGACCATCAGGTTAGAGAAGCTGACCAGAATTTCTCTTGAAGTTTATGTCAATTGTCTTCTAGCAGAAAAGGGAGGGGGGCAGTTCAGTGTGAGTAACCCAGGTCCCAAAGACCCAGGGAATGCACAGACTTCCTAGCTAAATTGGTTTGTTCATTTTATACTAGCCACAGTTGGAGAAGACAATGTTTGGAATAATATGAGATAAAGCAGAATTTACCTAAGCAACCTTAGATATCTCAGTTCACAGTTTGTCTGCTGATAAAAAGGTAAATGCCCTAAATGTTCACACTGAAATAAAAAAGCCTAAACTGGCCCAATACAGACTTTTGGTCTTACAGGAGAAAGAGATTTTCCTATTGAAGTCAATGGGACTGAAGTCCCAGTGATCTGATGGGACATTTTCATTGCTGGATTGGGACTTGCTCCTGTTAAACTCTTCATTCTCTTATAGTTTCATTGAGAGGAAACACATTAACACTGGGCCCAGGTTGGCTATGGTCTGCAAGCTCTTAACCCCGCAAAAGAGTCACACAAATGTATCATACAAAATCTAAGATGTCCTGGTCTCTGCTGTAGTAGCTAATGGTAAGATTCCATATCTGCATGGAACTTTTTGTTAACAATAATGATGATAATAATAATAATAAATCCTCTAAATAATTCTATTTGTTCGTGTTAATCTAGGAAATGGTCACATTTTGACCTTTCAGAAATAACAATAATAATAAACTAGGATTTGAATTCTGCACCATAATCTTTGTCAATAGTTTTTTCTGATGATCAAGACAAATTCTGTGGTTCAGTATGGAAACCCTGTCTCAAATTGACCTCTCCAATGAAGTTATTTTAGTTGCTTGGCAGGCAGCTATTACCCATTCTGGGTTTAAAACAAAAATGTGTCAAAGATCAAGTGTATGTTATCTGAAGTGTCAAGTGCAGGAGGCTAAAGGTGAAATTTCATTAGGTCAGAGGTAGTATAAATAAAAATCTTATACATCAAAGAAGAAGGGTAATTTAATATGAAGACATCAGAGGTGAAAAGCAATAACTTTAAGTAGGAATAGTGCATTCACCTATAGGTACCTTCATTGATTAAAAATAAAATGGGAGAGACAAGTAAAACTAAGCTGACTATAAATAAATACATTATTTATTCCCGTATTTTGAAATTTTACTCTTAAGTATACAAATCATAAATGTTGTAGTTCTAGTGGGTTATAAATTTTGCCCAGAGCTGTACATAGTAAGAAAGACCAAATTATATTGGGATTTCTCATAATACTTCACTGACCATCACCAATTAAGCCAAATTAGCTCAACGAACAACAGAGTACTTCCAGATTCCAAGCAAAATAGAGTGCGTTCAGAAAAGGGTACGCCAAGAAAGGCACCAGGCTCTCAGGACAATGAAAGAAACACTTCTTCTGTTGTGTATGTCCTACAGGAAAGAGGGATCATTGAACACAGAACTGGAAAATAAGATTCTGTCCATGACAGAGAGTTTCTCTCGGCACTTCTCGAGGAACGCCCAAGTGTTAATGGATCACATGAAAAGATCCGTTGACCAAAACATCTGTTCATGAATGAACCCCAAGGGCACATGGATAGAATCCACCCAGCCAACACCAAAGCTTGCCATCATGTGTTGAACCAGCCCCTGAGGGCAGCGTCCTACTTCCTGTAAAAAGCCACACTTCCAAAAAGCTTACAAAAGGTAGTTCCGGCTTTCTTAAACAGCTTCGTAAACTTTCTTAAACTCCCACCGCACCCAGCAACTAGCATCCAATGATCTTCCTGCCCTGGGTATGACAATGTAGCACCAGTGGCTTCTGATGGACTTGTCTTCCATGGATGCTTCTACTCCTCTTGCTGGCTATCTAGACTTATGGCTAGCAACATTTCTCCCAACCCCCAAATTAACGTATGTGCCGTGTAAGGTCCGTTCTTTCGTTTGATCTGGATCTACTGCTGCCTACTGGACAGTAGAGACAACATTCGCAATGTGACCCAAGCTCTAATCTGCTGTCTTCTACCACGTGCTGAATTATTAATCCCCAAATCCTCAGGCGGTTGGGTAAAGGCGGTGCCAAGATAACAGCCATTTCCTGTTAGAGAGTAAAACTGGGGGAAAGAGGGAAAGGACTTACCACTTCTTCATCTGAGAGCTCTCGGCCTTGGATGCTGCTGTTTTCTCTCACGGCTTGTTGATGCTTTTTCCCCTTAATGTGGCTAAAGAGATACACCTCCGAGGAAATCTGAAAAGGGTGTGATGTTTGCTCAATTCATTAGTGCAAAACACTGCCAGCCCAGCCCTGCACATAAGGACTTGTCCAACTGCTACAGGGAACCATGAAACCCAGATTGATGGACCTGGCCGGCTAAGAGGAGATAGTTCTCCATTGTTCTTCGGCCATCCTGCTCTTCCCTGGGCTGGCTGTTCAGGCACCCCTTCCCAATTTGCACCTTCCAGAGGTGTTAGGCCTTCAGCTTTGCTGGTTGGGAAATTACAATGAGCCAATCTGCAAGGAAGAAATGGTGGTGGGCAAACAAGGGCAGATCTGCTCTCTCCTTCGAGTGATCCTCATTGTGAAGACAGTGACCAGAGAAGGAGGCCTCTCTATGGCAGAGACATTCTGTTTCAAGAGGTAATTCTAAAGCATTTTGGGAATTTGTGGAATGGTTTGTGTAATTAATAAGTAAGTAAGTAAGTAAGATGTGTCACAGTCCTGTAATAAGGGCAAGTGTTGTCCACTGTACCTTGCAGATGCAACAACGAGCCTGAGAAAAGAGTGCCACATCTAAAGGCAAGATAATGGAGATGGGACTTGGGTTTCCTCATCCACAAATCACATCATGCTCTTTTTTCCTAGATTCAGACTTGGCACAGCAGACAATAGCTTTGGATTCTTCTCTTGGTCACAAATCACATCATACTGAGAAGACCTCCAGTAGGACAAGACTCTTACCACAACATTGCACAGCGAACACTGCTTCTTTCGCTCATATGGTGTGAGTTTAGGTGCGTAGTCCGTATTTGCATGCCTACCGCTGCTTAATTCAGCAGCTTTTTCTTTCCTCTGCTCTATCTGCTCCATGTGCCTCCGAATGCTCTCATCGTGCTGCGTGAGATCAAAGCAGAAGGGGTGCAACCGTTTATTTATTGAAAGGTTAACAGCAGGCCTGATAAAGCTCCGATATCAGATCAATGAAAAAACCAATTAGTTAGCTACATCTAGAAAATCCTGGTGATGGAAAAGGGGAATTCTTTCAACAGGACACCTTCAAAGTAATTAAATGGTAGGGCAGTCATCCAGATGAATTAAATTTCCAACTCCCAGAATTCCCAGTCCAAGAATGACTAGTCTATCAGGGAATTCTGGGAATTATCTCAAAACATCTACAACTGCTAGGCTCGGGTAAGCTGCGGCCTTGCAAAAAACTTGGGAAGATTCTTGATCACCATCTTTTCCTTCTGTCTCAACCCTTCCAATTAGTTCCACCTTCCAAATGCACTTTATATGACACCACCTTCTCCTCCATCTTCTTGCTCTCTCTTTTCCCACACATTATTAAAAGAAGTCACCTGCAGAATCAGTATGGTACTGGAACAATCATGGTAATGATAACTTGATGCAGGGCTATATTCCAAAAACACTGATGACCCCTAAGTGTGATAGTTGGGGCCACACCTAGAGGGTAAGCAATTTTTTCAGGATTTGTTGAGAAAGGCCTTCTAAATCTGGCACCCAAAAAAGACTAGGTTTTAACAAAAGACTAGACAAAACCAAGAAGGATCTGCCAAACATAGAAATGTAGATAGAAAGCGTATATGCCTGGCATATTCAGCAGGCATCTTGATTGTCTTTGATGTAAACTGATCCCAACTGCAGTGATATTACTTGGCTAATTAAATTAAACTTAAAAAAATAGTTTTACAGGGATTCATTTCTAGCCCATACCTTCAACTGGATCTTTTTCTGGAGCTCCTCCATGGCTTCTTGTTGAGCTGCAGTCAGAGCAGCTAGCCTCTCTTCCCGATCTCTGTGCAAAAAGCAGAGACGTTGAAAAATTAAGGCACTAGATTGTATCAACACCTTTTCAAGAGTAGCAAAATCCGTAAACTCATCTTGTGCATACCTCCTTCCCTCCATTCATACAGTAGACCCAACTTATTCCAATGCCTTTCTGTGTGTTTCTATTTTCTAGGGTTAAAGCAATTAAATGAATTTAGCATCTGCACATTCCATTTGCAAACGTCTAGACCAGTGTTTCTCAGCCTTGGCCACTTTAAGATGTGTGGACCAACTCCCAGCATGGCTGGGGAATTCTGGGAGTTGAAATGCACACATCTTAAAGTGGCCAAGGTTGAGAAACACTGGTCTAGATTGTTGGGCTGGGATGAAATAGAAACCTAGAGGCAGCATAGTGGAAGTGGTTCACAATGGCTACCTGGCCCGTTCACGAGCTGCATCTTCCCGGGCTCTCTCCTTCTCTTGCCTCTGCTGCTCAATCCGAGCTTCTTGTTCTTTCCTCTTCATTAGCAATTCTTCTACCCGGGCCTGGCGCTCAGCTTCCAAAGCTCTCTTCCGTTCCTAGAGAGCAAACACTTCACTTTTTAAATAAGGAAATCCTAAATGGTTCGCACAAAGACAGAAGGGACAGAAGCTTTGGGATGGATGGACGGATGGACAGACAAGACAGATAATAGATGGAGACAGACAGACAGACAGACAGACAGACAGAGCAGGCTAACTCACTCTTAAGCATGGATGGTTAGAAGCAAATCTCTTCTCCCTGCTGTTTCCTAAATGTTTCAGAGCTCAGAAGCAGTTTGGAGTGAGAAGAAGAGAACAAAAGAGAGGGAAGGAAAGGGAAGGGAAGAGAAGGGAAGAGAAGGGAGGGGAAGATAGGCTACCACAATAGTGCTCAAAAAAAGCACACTAGAAAGGCAAAAAAAAAAAAAAATCACTAAAAGCTCCTCCCCCCTTTCTTACTGACTGCTACAACTTCTTACTGCTGTTGTGGTTAAGCAGTACCTGCACAGCTTCGTCGCGGGCTTGCTTCTCTTCCTGCCTTCGTTGGCGCTCTTCCTGTAATTCATTCAGCCTTTGCTCATATTCTTTTAGTTTGGACAAAACATCGTGGCGCTTATTCTGGGCTTCCAAAGTGTTTATGAATGCAATTTCATTCACCTGCCATGAAACCAAAGATGGAATTGGGAACCCCAATGACCACTATGAAGAATTGGATTAGAGCAAAATAAAATGACAAACACTTTAGACAGTTATACATCAGCCATTTGAAATCAAGTAATTTGGTTAACCTAAGCCTTTTTCAATTATCCTTCTCTCGTATTATTTATTAGTCAACAGCTCTGCTGACATCCTAGGGCTCTTTTCTTCTTAGGTTCCTGGCCTTCTAGAACCTATTTCCAGCTTGCCTTCAAAATACACTCTTGTCTCTTTGAAGTCTGAATCCTAGAGAGACAACTTCTCCTTCCCTTACGACAGAAGGAGTGAGCTACCACAAACATCCCTTCTGCTTTAATTCACTAAGCAATTAATGCTATGAGCAGTTTTACCACCCCAAGAGCAAAACTACCCATTAATCAGACCAGCAGAAATTCTACTGCCACTTCAATAAATCATCAATACCCATTTGCTTTCAGGAATAACTCTGGAAAGGCCACCCCAAAACAATTTTCTGCAAGCAAGGTTCCTTAGCATCATTGACACTCTTAAAAACAAAACAAAACCACATTTCATAGGACAGTAAAAGAAGATACAGGAAAATATTTCCATTCTGCTGAGTAATTTTCCTATCTCAGAATTTCAAACTTCTCAGTTGATGAGTCAGCAGTGGTGGTATTTTTAACTCTGTGAAGAAGCCTGGTGCAGAAGCTGGAAAAGTCTCCAGTTCTTGGAACAGTCAAAGAGAACGTGGGATTTGGCGAGACACAACAAAAGCTTCACTAAATTACTGAAAAGGGTTTCTGATCAGGGTCGCCACTTCCCTGCTGCCATATTCCCTAAGGGAAGCAGAGAAGATTTGCATGGGAATGAATGAAATGTCTGTTAGGTCTCTGGGCCTGGAGCCCCGGGGCAGGATCCTGATGGGCTTTGAGGCAGGAAAGAGTTCAAGTGTGCTCAAGTCCTCAACTGTGTCATTAGGTCAAAGTGATTTGTGCAATGTGTTTCCTTTTTGTGCAAAAATGTCCCCTAGCTGAATTTCTTCCTTTCTGAGGATCCTCTCCTCCTGAGAATGAATTCTCTGGCCTGCGACGCAGCAATACCATCCCAACTGCACCTCTATTCTCTGAGCAATGGTCTCTCTCCCTGGGGTTTAAAAAGCATCTTCAGTGGCCCCCTGCTCCATGCCACACGCATCTTGCTCCCTGCCTTTGCTCGTGCCCTCTGTCCCAAATCTGCAGGAGAGTGCAAGGCAAGAGAGAGATGTTTTGCACTTCTGCCCTGAGCTGGGTGCTGGATTCAGTGGCTAAAGTGCCTCTCCTGACTATGATTCTAGCACTTCTCCTGCCTCCTTGCCCCACCATCTACAGACATGTTAAACATCCCCAGAAGAGTCAAACTTTCCGCTTTGTTTACCGGGTGGAACACATTTGCAGGGTGGATTTTACAGCTCACTGAGCGGGCAGTGGTGGGGATTTAAGGAGGGGGGGAAACGGAGGGACAGCTGCGAAAGCCGTCCCCACCAGCAGCTCTGACCCAATTAGTCGCAATCTTGGGGAGCAAAGAGCCACTGATCTTGCACAGCTGAACCGATGCCATGCTTTAACACATCTGCTAAACTGGGAATGATGACAGGTTGATTTGTTAATCTGATTGCAGAGGTCGCAGGGGATTAAGAAAACCGGGGCCCACAGGTAAAACGAACGACAGCCGCTCTAAGGGAAGGGCAGAAGCAGCCGTCGGGCTAACGGACTTAGCCAACAGAGCTGCCTGAAGGGCTTCCAAAGCATTAAGAAAAAGACTCTTCAAAAATAGCATCCAAAGCACCGCTCCTCTTAAAATTCTCCATCCCGTTAAACTGAAAACTGGCCCTCGCCACAGTACAAAATCACGCCTACAAATCAACTCTCCACAACACGGTAATGAAAATCAAATTTATAGGATGACTTTGCCTTGCAGTTATCAATCTGACACAGGACAGTACTTTTTTTTAAAAAAAAAAAAGCTCTGACTAAAGTTGCCAAACCAAGCAAACATGGCCTTGGATCAGAAGAGTCAATCTCTCTAACAGAATGGCTTTCTCATCAAACCGAAGTGGTGGCACTTATTTCTATTTATTTCACTTAAAAGAATTTGTAGGCTGTCTTAAAGGAACTGAAAACAGCAATAAAAATGACACCGTTAAAACTGTGTCTTGGTGGAAACGGTTCATCGGCAGAAAGCAAGGCGTCACCGTCCAGCCCCCGAGAAACAGAGTTGGCCTTCAGAGTCTTCTTGAAGGCTTCAGAAGAAGGGCCTTGACGATTCCACCCCACCATTTTGAGGTAACAGTGAAGACAAGTAACTTCAAAAAGACAAACAGGCCTTCAGACCGAGGACCGCTGTTGTTGCAGTCCAGAACTGCAGAATGTACCAAAGTGACTGCTCTGAAAGGAAGACACCTTATCCAATTTCAGCGGATCAGGGCACACACATTTGGACCAAAGATATATTATGATTTCTACTGCTGGGCTCTTGATGAGCTTCCCAGAAACAGAAATACTGTACTACTCGGCTATATCCTCTGAAACTGGGATATATCAAGACATCACGACTGCTGTGTCTTTCAGGCACAGTACTGGCAAAAGTAAGAGTCGTATACTACTGGAAGGAGAAATCTACCTTTCTTTTGCAGCAAAGAATTGTTGATATTTGTGTTTTGTCAACTAAGGCAAGGAAGAAGAGTTTCAAGCAATGCAAGTATATTTTTGTCAGCTGGTCTGTTGATAACAAAGTTTTATGAGCCCTTTTTCCCTTTTTAAAAAATTGTTATCATGATTATTAATGTTGACATTATACTATATGGTTACCTCTTTTATATATTTCTATAGTTTTGTTCAGGGAATTAGTTCAGCATTAAATGCTGGGAAACATCCAACAGATACTTCTGTTGTGGAAGCCCAAAGAAATAAAAAGTTTCTGATCTGAATGGCCTACCTTAGCTTCTTCCTCTTGGGCTTTTTTGACAATTGCTTGCAACTGCACTTCACGTTTAAACTCTGCGTGGAGCAATTTTTCCTCCATCATCCTTCGCCTCTGATCCAACAATTCTTCTTTCCATTTTTTCACATCTTTTTCCTGCAGAGGAGAATGAAAAGTCAAACAAGCCCCCATTAATGAAGAGTCAAACAAGCCCCATTAAGTCTCCCGGTACCTTTCATTGGGCAACTTTCCACCAAGATTAATTGTGGTCATATGAATCATAATATGAAACAGCAGGGGGACCTAACCTTTGGCTGCAAAGCTGCAGTAGCTCTCTTGCAGTTCTCACCTCACTGTAATTTTCAATGCCAAAAACATGAAATGCATGGATGATAACCCTATGAACTGACTTCGATTAATTTAATTATGCTTAAAATTAAACCTAAAGGGATAGAGTTTTCATCTTAGTCCCATCCAGTTTCTGGAGTCCAATCTCCAGCATGGCACTCAAAAGCCAAATGTTCCCCCACCCCACCCCAAAAACTCTTGGAATACAGTGTTACATTTCTTGGACATACTTCTTATCCCATCTCTTGCCAAAACTCCAATAAATATCCCCTGGAGTGCTACTAAAAGAAACACTGCTTGGCCTAATCAAGGAACAGTCCATCTCTAAGTGACGTGGAGAAGAGCTTTTGAACACTTTTGATCACACTCAGAGTTGAGGGCACCTACTCTGAGGAACATGGCAGGTAGCAAGAGATGTCATAAATCTCATAATATTTCAGGAGTTAGCAATCAATCCAAGTGCAATGCGTGTCAACATTTTAAAAGCTTGTAATGTAACAGGACACAGAACATGACAAAAGATCTCACTTCACTTAATACAAGGGAACTGAAATGAACTTTGCAACTCCTGGGCCTGTTTATCAGCATCTTTCTTGGGCTCTGAAAAGGATTTGCACAAAGTTGACAAAGATCAGCAAAAGCATAATTCGAAGGAACGCTATGACGAAAATATATAGGCCTTTTGCAATCCAGGTATTTAAAGATGATTGGGAAAAAATCCACCATTTTCTCCACCCGGAAGCCCCAGACCCAGAAGTTTCTAACGATGAAGTGCCTGCTCCAGGCACATTCGATTCATGTTAGTCCCAGGAATCAGCAAGCAATCAAGCACCCGAGGCTGACTCTGCCAGCAATCGTCTGGAGCTGGTGTGCCAACATTCAGATGAAGAGGGTCCCAGTTTTGAGCAACTGATCCCCAGATGCACCGCACACTCTGGGAGAGCAGAATACAGGTGGTTGGTGTGCTTCCGCACCAGGCAAAAATGGCATCAGCCTTCATTGGTCCCTATCTGGCAGTGGCTCTTTATCAGGGTAGCTGCTCATTGGCACATCCCCACTGTGAACAACCTATCCAACTGGACTCTGCACACTCAAGACCTGAAACCCATATATTCAGAAACTGACACTCTGACCTGGATTGATTGATGACCTTCCCATGAACGCCTTGAACCTTGGACTGTGACCTGACTTTGCTACTTGCCTGCTGACTTCACCTTGGACTCCTTGCAGGCAAGCTCTCTCTTCCTTGAACCCATGCTGTCAGCCCCTGCTTGTAAACCCTTTGCAGCACCAAGGGAACTTCTGAACCCTTATCTCCATGTGCATGCTTGGCCGGGAACTGGACAACTTGTACCAGCCAATTTCCCTCCTCCATATTTGCAGCAATTTGCCTGATTTGGATGTTTTGCAAAAAGAGGGGGTGGGGTGGTCACCACTGCAAAGGTGGAGGAGAAAGGAAGCAAGTGACCAAGGGCTTGTTTCTCACCTCTCATCTCATGTTTGGGGAGCATCTGAGAAGATTCATTCCCATGGCAATTTCTGGGCTTGGCGGCTCAACCCTTCTAGGAGTATGATTCAAGGTGAAAATGAGATTCAATGGGGGGGGCATTAAAAAGGTGCCATGGCAAATTTACCCTTTCCATTAATTTCTGAAGCTTTAGAGTTTTCTCTTCGCGGAGCTTCTCTCTTAGCTGTTGAGCCTTCATCTGCTTCTCTTCATGCTTCTTCTTCGATTCTGCAATTGTCCTTTGGAAAGAAACGTCACAGAAAACTGAGAACCAAAAAAACAAGCTGGAACCAACTGAGACCTACAGGACTCTGCATAAACAGCACACATGGTTTAAAAATAGGGTTATAGCTTGGAGGGACTAACAGAAGGTGCAAAGACAGCAACTTCTCATTCAGAGGATCCCCAGTTCAATCTTCACCTTACAGGGCACGATATAAAGAAATAGTGCATAGTACCTGTATACTTGTAGATGATTGTGTTAATAATCATCATTACTCAGATGGTTCAAGCATAGGCAATGGAAAATTCCTCTGTTACTCCAAGGAGACTGGAGTCCCCCCAGATATTTTGGATTTCAAGTCTCAGCAGCTCAATCAATATGCAGCCCAAAATATCTGAAGGTTATAAAATATCAGGTTGTCTTCTTCAAGTCAGGCTTGACTCCTGGTGGCCACGTGTAGGCATCCATGTCATTTTCTTGGCAGTAATACAAAAGTGGTTTACCACTGCCGTATGCTGGAATATTATTTCACCTTCCCAGTCTAACCTACAATTAAGGATTTTTTTATCATCCCCCATCCTAATACTAACTAGGACAAACCCTGATCAGCTTCTGAACCCCACAAGATTGGTCAGGGGCTGCCAACTCCTGAAACAAATACATCCCTGCTGACTACAGGTATAGTTCACGTGCTTTTCTTGGCAGTAATACAGAAATGATTTGCCACTGACTCCTTCTGGAATATTTTTTGGCTTCCCGATCTAACCTAAATCCATCTTGGAATTTCCTAGTGATCTCCCATCCAAGCACCAGTGCATCTGAATTGGCACAAACCAGTTCCCTACCTTTTAATTATCAGTATATTACTCATACAGATTCTGATTCACAGTTATTCCCAAATAATGGAATCAAAAGTTTAAAAACTGAAGACCTCTTGCGAGAAGGGGAAGAAAGTTTCTCATGCATGTGTATTCCGTGGCCAGGTGGGCGAGCTGGTTCTTCTTCCACTATGTCACCCCAGGAATTATTCTGACGCCACGATTCACGAGCTGCAGAAAACCAGAGAATCATTTTTTTGAAGCAAAAGCTGACCCAGAACCACATAACTGGCCATATTTGCATGACGGCAATGAGAACTATGCTCTCAAATTAACTGCAAATGTTGGCTCCCATAAACAGAATTGTGTTAGCTCTGGTTCCAGAAAAGGATCTGTACCTTCGTAATCCGCCAGGACGTCATTCCAGTCCATGGAAATGCCGCAGAAAGATATACTCCCACTGCCCAGGCTGGCCTAAAAATCCAGAACGCAAAAGAGAAAAGAGAAGTTCAGATGCTCCCTGACAAGGTAGAAAGAATTCCCTTTCGGCTTGTTACTTCCCACTTTCTGCAAATAAGAACAACAGCTATTATTATATGCACAAAATAATGAGCAATGGTGCCTCCATTTTTCCTCCCTTTGCTGCCCTTTTAAAGCACCATATCAGTCCAAAAGGAGATTCAACCTAGTTGGGACCCAACAGAAAAACTTCTTCAGTACTATAAGAACAAGCAATGGTGGATTCACTGAGAGGCCCCACATCTCTATACCTCCTTTGCAACTGTGAGAATAACTCTGCCATAAAGATGGTGAACAAGCTAGGATCTTAACCTATGTTTTGGCTTGTTTTACTAATCACAATTAAAACCATTCCCCACATTTGAAATGGTAGGGGACTGGGCAAAAGGGAAGTTTGTGACTGCTCTTTCTCACAGGGGAACCAGGGTTTCTCTTCAATCTTCTGTTTCCCATGGTCCTTTTTCTTCCCCCAAATGTTCCTGGTTCCTTGTAAACCAGAATCTCAGAGTTCTGCATGATTTCTCTAACTGGAAAACAAGTAGTTAATTTTTACACAGCTCAAAAGGGAAACATCAAGATTCAGAATACTTCTGTATATTTTTTCTGGCTCACGCATTACAGAGTTAGTGCCCAGCTATCCTTCAATGTCAAGAAGTATACAAAAGCCTAGCATTATATTTTCAAGTCTAACTTTGTCCAGAAAAATAGCAGTTCAATCAACGTCAGCTTCCCCAACAAGCAGAAAACTCACAGAGAAATCACTGTCGTTGTCCGTTTCTAGGTTGATATCGGTGTTCTCCTCTGCTTCAATCTCTCTTGTTAACTGCTCTTCTTCTGCAATGGCGCTTGCGATGGCCTCTTCGTTGGCTTTTTCCAAGCGATCTGCTAACTCCTCTTTTTTAGCAAGCACCTCTGCCATGGACTAAAGAAGGGAAACTAAGATCAGAAACCAGACTGGGAAGTCTGAAAATACTTTCCAGGTATGGATCACTGCTATCCCCTAAATTGTATGGATTCTGACCCAGTGAAACATATACTGTATGACTCATGAGCTCGCAATGGTGAGAAGACCTAGAATAAGGAACAATATTTATCACTGACAAGTAATGGGAATTAGTGTGGGCTAAACAGCTGGGAACATGAATTACATTAGACAAAAACTTAGTAGACAAATTAGACAAATACTTCGATTGAAACTGAGTAGATAACTTTTGCACAGGACTAATCTCTTCTGCTTTGAAAGAACAGTATGATCTATTACTGGATTTGCTAAAAAAAAAAAAGCTAATGGATTCTTCTAGGTCTACCTTCTAGGCTCCATCACCAATTCTACTATGGGCACTCCTATCCCATGTACGCGAGAACCAGAGTCTTTCTCCATGCAAAGCAGATAGGTCTAAGTAGGAGGAGCTGATAATCATTTACTGCACATAGCAGGATTGTTTGTGGACTCATATTTAGGACCCCTCTGTGTAGATTAAGGTGTTTACATTTGAAATGTCAGCAGGATCCATTTCACTTTCACTCTTGGTTTTTTCTGCTTCAGTCCCTTCATCACATTTTGAAACGATGGAGGTTATGTCATCCACCACTGGACTCTTGGAGTTGCATTCGACATCTACGAGAACAAGTGGCACTTCGGAAGATGGTTGGAAAGGTCCACCTGACAAGCCAATGTTCTTCTCAGAGACCTTGATGTCTTCAAACACACGGGCTGTGAACTAATATGTGATAGATGGATAGATAAGCGGTGGAGATACTCAAAGGAACCACATCCATGTGTTTTGCTCAAGGCAATTTAGTACTTTTTTCCTTTCTCTTGCCTAATCTCACTTTTCTTTCTTCAGTCATTCCCCATATTTAAAGGAGTATTGTAGACTGTAGATTTTCTTTCTGGCGAGCTTTTAACATCTGAGTTCCAACGCTCCCTCCCCTGCCCCAGACTCATTGAAATATGGTTATATATAATCAAATGCATCAACAGACTAACACGGCCCACTTAACACAAACTTTTTAAAGAGGATCTTTCAGCATCCTTCTGAAATATATACTTGCAAAGGGAAATTCATGTCTAATAAAATACGTATAGCCCCATGAATCAAAAGAAAGGCAGCAATGTTTTGCTGTTTTATACTTGAAAGGAAAGCTCATAAAAATAGAGTATTCTGCTTCTTATCTAATAAAAATGTTTCAGAAAAAGCACTGCTTCAACAGCAGAAAATGAAAATTAGCTTGCAAGTCAAAAGAAAAATTATAGTAAATACAACAACATGGGCAGAGGATTCTGAAAAATGGTTTATTCTGTGCTTTCTGCTGGTAGGTTTCCCAGTTCAATTCAGATTGCCAGTAGTAATTTTTTAAATCTTAAATCGTTTGGAACCAGGTTATTTAAAGGCCTAATTATACTTCTATGAACCAGCCAGCGATCAGCCATCAGACTCCCTCATCTCCCTCCCATTTGGCTGAAACAGCTATAAACAACTCTCAACTTTTGGTGTGAGGCTCAAATTATCCTATTTTGTACACATTGTGCAAAGACCTAGCTTTCTGGAGAAGGCTGTAATGCTGGGAAAGGTGGAAGGAAAGAGAAGAAGAGGACAATCAGCAGCAAGGTAGATGTTACAGTGGTGCACCATTGGGAGACCTGAAGGAGCAGGTTGGGGACAGAACCTCCTGGAGACAATCTATCTATGGGGTCACTAAGAGTCAACACAAACTTGATGGGATATATTTAATCAAATGCAAATCCAAGTAAGCTCATAACCAGAGGGAACATCACCAACACAGCAACGTTAAAAAACATCTGCACATCAACCAAACACAACAGGTGTGTGGCCCAGACTAAGATAATCCAAAAATGGGTGGTGAAAAACAGCTGCCACAATTGAACTGGAGAAAATCTGCAAATCTTACAGGCAATCAGCAGTTGTAAAACATGCAGATTAAATTATGCTTACCTGAGTCCTTTCTGCAAGCGGACGTTCACACTGATGGCAAGAATCTTTCAGGATGGGATCTATATTTTTGGATATGCAGTCTTCGCTTAATAAACCCTTCTGTTTATTTACCAGTGGATGAAGAATTAAGTTTTCTTTGTCACTGTCATCCTTAAACCGTGATAATTCTGCAGACGAAGTGGTTTTGGGGACTGAAGCAGAAGATTTGGATCTCACTGGCCTCCCACGCTGGACTGTCTCCCAGCCTTCAGCATCCTTTCTCTCTACATTGAATCATTGAAAAGCCAACCAAGAAATCAGAAGGGAAACTCAGCAATGGAAACAGAGGTACATAAAGAAAACCTTCAATAATATTTTGTCTTCACTGTTGTTAGACAAGGGGTAAAAATAAACACAGTTATGCAGTCAGTACGCACTAAAATTACTTTCCTCTTGAAAACAGTTCCAAAGAGACAGCACACACAAACCAAGACCTTAGGAACACATTTTTGGCAAAGAGAAAAAATTGCCTTAGCTAGTTTACATCCACTACCACAGTGAGGATTCTGTAAACAGACCAATGCTACATTTGAAAATGCAGAGGGGCTATTCGCTTTGGTTCAAAAATGAACACAAAACAATGAAGAGGCCAGTGGCATCCTGAAGATCAATAGACCTGCTATAGCGTCATTTTTTGATAGAACTGAATCACTTTCCTCAACCTGTATTTTTCCAAGTATTTTGAATCATACCTCCCATACCACTGAATTATAGCTATCCTGTCTGAAGCTCAGGGCAGACAGAACCCAGAACATCTTGAGGGACCCAGGTATTTTGGGGGAGGGGGTTGCGTATGTGTTTGGTTTTTATTCTATTTTTGTTGTATTTTATATGGTTTTTATTGTATTTTAATTAATATTTACTGCTGTTTTATTGTGAACCGCCCAGAGGCACTTTTTTGAGAGATGGGCGGTATCTAAATTTGAAATATAAATAAATAAATATAAATAAACTGCTTCAGTGGCGAGGTTGGGCAGATGGAAAAAGGAAAAAGAGGAAGAGATTCTCCTTCTAATTTGGAGAAAACAGTAGAGAGTAACATTCATGTATAAAGGCAAAACGTAGCCCTTCAGAAAATCCACAAGGTTCATCTTCTGACAGATATCACCTATTTAGCCAAAGCAGGTCTCTCATCCGACTCCAACAGCTATTTTATTCTGACCTAACAGTACAGAAGAGATGGGGGTGTCCATGGTACGGCCACATATTGCAATACAGAAGCCAGTGTGCAAAAAAGAAAGGCCACACACTTTATCCTCCCCTGGATATCGCAAGCTGGATTTAGTTACTTGCCCAGTTTTGTCCATGAATAATTCACTGGATTATTTTGACAATTCTCTAACCACACTTGAGCTTCCCACCCTCTGCTTCCTCTTGTATTACATGGAAGTGACAAACCATCTGTTTCTCTGAGCCCCCTCCTTGCCTAAAAGCCATTTAGATGTTACGACTTTCAAATGAGTCCATCTGGAAGAACTGTCCTGTAACCTTATTAGTGACAGTAGCAGGACCAAGTCACAAGAGACCTGCTGAGCTGTGGGTTCCTTCAACTAAACATCTATTTAAAAGGGACTCATTCTGCTGGGGGTGTACTGTTAGCTTCCTCCCTTCTTGCTGAAACACCCTCCCTGCATTCAGTGAGCATATATCAAGGAGAGGGTCCTCCACTTGATTTGGGGAGCAGGGCAATTTTCATTAGTAACTGTAAAACAATGCAGATCTGCTCTTCTGGCTGGAGCCCACATTGATAGGATTCAGAGGTGCAGCAACATATTTGCTGAGCACTAAAGCTGTAGTTCTGAACTCATGGAGGTGGGAGCCTGTGTACATAGGACTGTGCTATATAAAACTAAAAATGCAAACACTGCACACAGTGCAGTTAAATTACGTTATTATCCTTGGCAATAAAAAAAAAGGCTCAGGGATTCTAATTACAGTACTCATCCTATGCTACCCATCCATAGAAAAAAACACTAGAAATGAAACCCGAAATCTGAAAAATATGCCAGCACTACTGATGAATTCCAACAAAGAAAGATCACAGCTCAGCTCCAATGGCACGCAACTTGATTAGCTTTATCTCCCTTTTGACCCAACTGGTGGATAATTTAATTCAAGTGTTAACTTACAATAAGCTCATTAAAAACAACAGCACCCCAACAATAGCTGAGTAACCAAACACTGGCATACAGGATGGTGCATGATAAACCTTAATATCTCCAGGTGGGGCTGGAGGGAGGGAGAGAGGGAGGGAGGAGATCAAAAGAAAGAAAGATTTGGAAGGGTCAAAATAATCATTCAAAATAATGAGCACAATAGCTGAGTAACCAAACACTGGCATACAGGATGGTGCATGATAAACCTTAATATCTCCAGGTGGGGCTGGAGGGAGGGAGAGAGGGAGGGAGGAGATCAAAAGAAAGAAAGATTTGGAAGGGTCAAAATAATCATTCAAAATAATGAGCTAAACTGACCTGGTTTTAGACAACAGGTTTATGTAGTTTACTAAGCACTGTCATGTAATATCAAAAATCCTAATGCTTCATATACTTCTGCTCTGTGATTACTGTGCATGCCATCTCAAAAGGGGAATTGTACATTTCAAAAAGATACAGGAAATGGTACCCAGCATTTCCGAGAGGCTGGAACCCAGTCTCCTCGATGAAAGGCTAAGTCACTGGAAGACTGCTAGTTTGGAAAGATGACAGGCGCATTGATAAAATTAAGTTAGGGAGGGCGTGGAGAAAGAAGTGGGAAAGGGCCTTTCACCACCCTTTGTGGTATCAAGACTTTGAACTGCTCAAGCAAATTGTCCGGTTAGGGAAGGATGTTCAATGCATTCATGAAGGAGTTATCCTTTGAACCCAGTGAGGCTCATTTCCGACATGGAGGGGGTTGCGTTGCTAACCTCTTAAAAAGCTCCAGCCTCCCAACAGAACGGTCTTTCAACCAGAGACATATTTTGAGCAAAAGGAACAACAACAGGATTAGGGGTCGCCTGTATTCAAAGAGCAAGCCATCCATTATCGCTTTTAACACAGTTCCATTCACTTTAGTTGCTACACACCCAGGCTACCTATCAGCTTTGTCTTGAAGACATTAGCTAAACACGCCTCTGGTGGGGCCACTTGTGAGCTTCGAATACTCTGAAACCCAAAACCTTTCTGAGCTGTTTTTAATAGCGGTCCCGGACAGTGATATTTAAAAAGCAGAGAGGTTTTTCTTTAGAAGGAAAAAGGATCTCTTTTTTTCTCTTCCTCTCTCTCTTTCATTTCCTCAAATAATAATAATTATTTTTTTAAGTTATGCTACTGGTCAGTGTAAGCAAAAGAAAACAGAAAAGAGTCTTGGGGCATCTTTAAAATTGAACAGATTTATCGTGGCATATAAATTTGCGTGGATGAGAATTTATGCCACAATAAATCTGGCAGTTTTTGGGAAGAGTGCCCCAAGACTCTTGAAAGAGGAAGACAGGCAGAATGAATTCCTCTAAAATTATTAAATGGTATTTCTAGGTAGATCGTGGAGACCAAAGTTCGTTACCCCTGTTTTTAACGAGTGGATGCACACAATTGACTACAGCACAAAACACTAAGATAAGCTTGCCCTGTCCTTATTTGCTAGGGCCAACTCCTGATAAAGGATTGACCCTCTTTTTAATGTTGTCATTGTGGTTGTTGCATTTTGCCTTCTGGGGGAGCCTGGTTCAAATCAGCAGCATGGCATCTTAAAGCTGTCACCTTTTCAGACAAAGCTCACGCCCCAGTATGGATTGGCACTCGCTTGGCTTCTTACACATGGCTATAATCCTGCACACATGAACACTGAGACTCCATGCTCTGTACATGTCTGCCTCTTTGCCCACTCCAACGGCCACAATATCACTGTAGCTGTCGTGGTATGTGGGAAACACCTTGGGAGACTGGGCCCAGAGACGCTGCCTAGGGAACGGTCAGATAAGAGGGAGCATAGCCCACAGCTGGATAGTGGGCGGGGCAAGAGGCTCAGAAGGGACCCTCCCTGGTTTCTTGGACTGTAGAGGAGATGGGGGGGGAGGACTGTACTTTCAGACTTGCAAGATTCTGTTAATGTAGCTTTACAATAAAGTAGAATTAGCTCATCTGGTTGTGATTCCTATCTGGCTTACCCCACGAGGCTGTCATCAAGTTTGCAAGTCTGAAAGTACAATTCTTCCTCCCCGCCCCCCCGTCTCCTTTACAGCCCAGAAAACTACAGAGGGTTCCTTCTGAGCCTCTTGCCCTGCCCACTATCCAGCTGCGGGCTAAGCTGTCTCTTATCTGACTGTTCCCTTGGCAGTGTCTCTTTGCCCAGTCTTCCAAGGTCTTTCCCACATACCGTTATGTCAGGTCCAAGATTTACCTTTAATGAAGAAAACCATCATCTCCTTGGCTTCTCCATGAATGAAAAGTGAGCCTAGTGCATCTGAGATGCTGCATGAGGCAGAAGAGGGGGAAGAAACTATGGGAAGGGGGGCTTGGTGTAAGAACCAAAATATGACAAGGCAAATCCTACTTTTATCTATGAAACATGAAAGTATATGGAGCAAAAGTTTTTTTTTTTTTTTGACAGCTTAATGCAAACACTTCCAGTCCGTCGAAAGGAAATTATGGTCGGGTTAGCAAAGAGAACATTGAACCTTTTAGACACAGGCTGAAGTATTCTTAAGAGCTATGAGAATTAACTGTTCTGGGCGGCTGCTTGATCTTGATGGCCTAAAATGGTCCCTTCCAAATCTTTTATTCCAGGATCTTATCTTACATTCTCTGTCCAACAGTAAGGCTGAGGGAAGTTTGGGAGTTCTGGCTTCTGTTTTAGATCAAGTAAGGCTTACTGGACAAACTGTAGTTAATCTTAGCTATGAATATTGGAAACTACCCAACTTTAAAACCATATTTTATGAAGTTGGGCCATTTTCTCTAGCAATAGTTAAGATGTTTAGAGTTTGGACAGTATGATAAATTGGGACTAATCTGAAACAGCCCATTTTCTTCTCACAGTGCAACTGGAGGAGAAGGCCGGGGAGAAGGCATAAGACTAGCGATTACTACAGTGTTATCTCTTTTAGTATGATGTCCAAAATGCAGCCTTTATCTCATTGCATTGCTTTGAAAGGGCTCTGTCTACATCGGTAAGGTAAAGAAACTTGCCATTTCTGCGGGATGGCTTCTGTGCTGCAGTTGGAACGCAGGCCTGCGTCGCTACCTCCTCTGAATGGGAAGCTGCTCCTGGATGGCTTGCTTTCACTTTGTCTGCCCAGCTGACCCCAGAAGGAGTCAGACGATTAGAAGTAACTGTCGCAGGAGGTGCTCTAAAAGAAGAAAAGCCATTATCTCCGGCCATTAAAACCATCTGCCGCTTCCTATGCTGCTTTGCAGTCTTTGACTTCTGCTGACTACTCTTGGTCAGCTTGGTCGTCACCAAAAATCTCCACCAGAGCCAGCCCCGAGCACTCAACTGGATGATGAACAGAAATCAAAACAGGGCCACAGATCTGGAAGAGCCCTGAGATTTGCAGAGGTCCAAAATAATAATAATTGTAAGAGACAACACGACAACCCAATAATGGTACTTAGAAGCAAAAAATAAAATAAAAAGCAAAGTGTGAGGTGGAGAAGGAGAATAAACACTTGGGAGGAGGGAGATAGGTGTATGTCCAGAAGGAGCTTTTAACAGCCAAGAGCATGCACAGGCAACCTTTGGGCCACATATGGAGCCTCAAGTGCTCTCTATGTAGCCTGTGAAGCCTCACCTAGTTTTTCCCACCCCAGCTGATGAGCCAGCAGCTGACAGCAGAGAACAGGTTGCTATTTCCCTGCTGGTATTAGCAGCAAGGAAGCAAAACTTTCATCAGGACTGTAGGGCAGGTGTAAATATGAGGAGTTAAAGTCTCCAGCAACCTTGGCCAGTCTGTTGCCCTCTAGACATGCTGAGCTACAGCTGTTTGCTTGGCTGGTTGTAGCCCACCCACTGGGAGGGCAGCAGGTTTTTAGAACATCTCCATTTTCACCCTTGAAATAGTAAAAGCTGCTTAATTTGCATACCCGAAATTGAGACTTCTTCGGGCATTGGATGTCGCGCTGATTCTGTCGGTCGATGGGCTCGGAATAACATGGCGCCCTGGAGACATCTTCTTTACTTCCCATGCTAGTGAGGTTGGCCTGAAAATTATGTAGAATACTGAGCAGAAAAGACACCTTTCCTTCCCCTGCAATTAACATCACACCACTCCTGGATGTTGTAATGCACAGGTAAGCCATGTAGGCTCCACCATTAGTACGAAGCTGTCAGGTCTTTTTCATTTCTCTGATGACATTGCCAAGAGTTTTCTTCTTCCCACACCAAAGACAGCACTAAATATTTGAACTTGGGATCACAGCCTCTGCATCTGAGGCCACAAGTTGTCCAAAAAATAAAACTTCCTCTCTCAGCATGTCCTTAAGGTCTTTATATGGTCACTTTCTGAACAGGCCCTAAACAGTTTTCATTGTAAGCAGCAACAATTCATTTTTAGTTTTCCCTGTTTAACCACTCCTATTGGTAAATCCCTAATTTGCTTGTCCCTTGTGTTATAAATACCCTGTTTTCTAGCAGGATTGTGGCTTAACTACTTTCTGTATCATAGGTTTGGATATTTGGGGTAGGTGGTGGACTGTAAAGTGTATTTATCTTATAATGATGCTAACTATTCCTGCTTCCCCAACCCCAATCCTCAAAAAGGCAGTTCAGACACAACAAACATTTAACTTAATCCTTAAAATAATTCTGTATTTTGTTACAGCTTCATCTCCCCCAGTCAAGAACCCAGACACTGAGAAAAACAATGATTCCCTAGTAATCCGCAGACTGGTGAAATCAACTCAAAGCCCAGGTTGCAGAGAGATGCAACAACACAACAGTACAAACTTAAATAATTTGTTGAAGCAGCCCCAGCATCTAGGTTTACCACCATAACCTAATCCAAGCCAAATAAGCCATAATGCACCCTCTAGTTGTGGAAACGGTAGCTTTCCTTCTAATCAAATTCAGACAGAGTTTTCTATTCTGGTTTTGCTGTAAGCTACGTTTATAGCTATTGTAATTCGCTTGATTCAGATATTTGGACAAGCTACCGTTATTATGAACCAGTGAGGAATAAGAAAAGAGGAGAGAAAATATGCAGGTGTAAGGTCCACTGCTGATAGTAAGAGCACGGTTCGGCCATAAGTTGCCTGTATTTTATGTGCAATTACAATCCAAATTCATGCTGTGCTGAAAACGAGAGGGAGGGAGGGAGGGAGGGAGGGAGGGAGGGAGGGAGGG